GCTTGGCTTTGAATCTGGGATCGTGAATCATCATTCAGTCATGACCCCAACCAGTGTTTACTATTTGGGCGACTCCTCTATGTTGGGTCCTGGGCTATGCTGGAGTTTAGAGATGAGTGGCACAGATCCTCACACGGAGGCTTTATGCTCTAACAAGGGACTTAGACAAGTCAGAAATACCATTTTAGAACCACTCCCTTCTGGGTACACTGTGCGCCAAACACCCGGCATGTCAGAGACACTCCACAGGCATTTGCGGAATGAGTGGATGAACCGTGAGAAATCCCATGATGAAAACGTGCAGAGGGTTCTACGTCCTGCACACAGAGGGCAGGCATGCACAGGTGCTGGCAGGGCTGTCAGGAAGAGGTGAGGCTGCTGATGAGCTTTCACAGACACATAAAGGATGTCTGGGAGGGAAAGAAAGCATTTCAATACATCCCAATTAAAACAATCTGCAAAAGACATGAACATACGTAAGAACACCACATGCTCACAAAACTGAAACACACACAAACCCCGAAGGCTGGGGTACAGAGTGTGTGGAGCGGGGCTGGGCCGGGGGTAGAGGTTAGAGTGGAGAGTCAAGTGGGGTCAGATCAACCTCATGGATGAATGATGGGACTCTGGATTCTGACCCACAAAACAGGGAGTGATTCGAGTTCTTTTAAGCATTCAATAATGCAATGAAAATGCATGTTGGATAGGTAATGGCAGGGTGCAAAGCGGAGGACAGAGGAGAGGAGGTGCAGGCTAGAGATGCGGGGAGCAGAAGACAGCCAGTGCCATGTTCAGACGGGGACTGAGATGAGAAGGTGAGCTGAGGAGGGTGCCTAGATCATCAGACGAGAGAGGCCAGGAGGACCAAGGGCCACGAGGGAGCTTCTCGGTGCAGTCAGAGCCTGGGTAAGAAGGTGCTGGGAGAGAGTGTGGGAGTAGGACACAGTGTGTACGGACCAGGAGGAGCTTGCGTTGCCCACAGCAGGTCTTGTTGACTGACTGACTTTGGACAGATGTTCAACCTTACACATGAATATCATCTGCTGTAAAGTCACACAAATGCTAATCTCACATGGCTGCATTAAGGATGAAATGAAGAAAAAAAAAAAAATATATATATATGTAAAGAAGTTAGTAGTGTACCTGGCACCTACTAGGTACTCAATGAATGATAGGAACTGCTGTGTAATAGTGGTAATAATAAGAAACTTTTGCTATTTTTTTATTTTTATTCAGGTATCCATTTATCCAACAAATATGTCACCCCTGAAAGTTTTGGAAACTAATGATTGTCCTGTTTGTTTCTTCTATCAATACTTCTAAAACAGTTTAGACCAATTACACTAGTGAAAGTGAAGATAAACAGTTTTGTGTTTCTTAGGAAACCAGTTTTTCTTGATGCGTAGTGGTTCGTGGCCTGTTAGGAACTGGGCCACACAGCAGGAGGGGGCGGCAGGCAAGCGAGCAAAGCTTCTTCTGTATTTACAGCCACTCCCTATTGCTCACAAGAGCACCTGAGCTCTGCCTCCTGTCAGATCAGCGGCCACATCAGATTCTCACAGGAGCTTGAACCCTGTTGAGAACGGTGCATGGGAGGGATCTAGGTTGCGGCTCCTTATGAGAATCTAATGCCTGATGATCTGTCACTGTCTCCCGTCACCCCAGATGGGACATCTAGTTGCAGAAAAACAAGCTCCCACTGGTTCTACATGATGGTGAGTTGTAAAATTATTTCATCATATATTACAATGTAGTAATAAAAATAAAGTGCACAAAAAGTAATGCACTTGAATTACATCCTCTCCACCCCCAAACCATGGAAAAGCTGTCTTCCATGAAACCGGTCCCTGGGGCCAGAAAGGATGGGGACCGCTGCCCTGGAAGACACAAGCATGGGGTACGGGCAAGAGCGGAGGGACTTCATTTCCACCTTGCTGCGTCACTCAGGGAGTCCCTTCATCAATTTGGATGTCACTTTTTAAATTTGTAAGATGAGGGCAGTTAGATGACTTCTAAGTCTCTGTCAGCCCTGAAACACTAGGGTGAAATGTTATCATCCCTTAAAAACATAATAAGCAAAACGAGAATAACAATTTTAATAACCAGA